CCTGACCTTGCGACACGTGACCCTGCGAAAAATCTGAAAACGTAGGCAGGTTTTCGCGCTAGCTCCGCGCTAGCACCGCGCTAGCAGGCAGCTGCCAACGTGAACACTGGGGCACGCGCCTCGTTGGAGGCAGTACCCAAGAAGCCACTTGCATGCTTCTAGGCTGTAGTTCTTAAGTAAATTTTATTCCCATAGTACGAACCAATTCCGTTTTGTTACTCGCTGAAGATGTGGTGTAGAACATTGGGATTTCTTGTGTGCCACGTTATCCTATAGCAGCAGCTCTGCGAGCTCGGATAGCCCATCCGACAGCAGCTAAGAGAAGGCCCGCGCTAGTGCCGCAATGGTTCTGTGTTCATATGGCGCGAATGATACGGGCCTTTCATATATACATATATAGAAACACCCTCCCCCAGGCGATTCCATGGAATGGTTCCAGAGGAAAATAGAGCTTCCATGGAATCGCCTGAGGACCTAGTATCTGCGCAGGAGAAGCCCAACGTCTTGAGCCGGTCCATGGCACAGCTCGTCTTTGACCAGAGCTTCGTGCGGAGGTGACGTGGGGGGGGGTGAGGTGGTTGGTGAGGTGGTTGGTGAGGTGGTGGGAGAGGTGGGAGAGGTGGGTGGTGGGGGGGGGGATGGGTTGGAGGTGGGGCTTGGATTTGGTTGGTGAGCTGGGGTCCTTTTCCTTGAAGGTTCGGAATGATTTGGGGTACCGTTTGCAACTTCCATCTCACTCGAGTTCCTGGCTTTAATCTGTTTGGGTTTGGATCATTCGGTAAATATGATGTTTGGTTGCCTTTTTTACCAATCCACTCGTTCGGAAGTCAGCCATTGGAGCAGGTTGACAAGTTCACTTTTGGGAAACACCCTTTTTTGCCTTGCATCTCTCATGCGATCTCTCATCCGAGAAGTTTCGATATACTTTCACCCACTTTGAGCCACTAGGTACATCTTCAGTTACTGGAACGGGTGGCGCGCAACATTTTTATTTTTTTTCTCGAAGGTGCGGCAGCGACCAATCGATTCCCCTGCAAGTGAGGTTCAAAGTTTCTGTTGACCACTAGTGCCCTTTTTCGGGCCGTTCCCTTGCAAACGGGTAAACCATCCCTATAGGTCCCTAAGGGCGAAAAGTGAATATTCAGTTTTTATCAGAAGGCAAGACTTGAGCCAGCAGAGTTGGGTGAAAGATCGGGTCTGACTCCCCCCCGTTTGTGCACAAATGTCTTGAAGTAAAGGGCCCCGCAAAATGGTTTCTTTTCCTTTGGTTCCCCTTTAAAGAAACCCACATCAGAGACCAACACATAACTGCTTTCCTTAGGTTCCCCCCTAAGGCAAGTTTCCTTTCCCTCAAAAGTTGTCCTTTGGTTCCGTCACATGCTTCCCACAAATCGATGGGTTCCTTTTCGAACGGTGAAAAACGACTCGCAGGTCCCTGCAGGAGATCTTAGAGCTTTTCCTTTTTCCCCCGGAGGCGGATTCGGATGCGGGCCACGGGTAAATTGTGGGAGCTGAACGGGGTCAGCTGACTTTCGAAGTCTGGGGTTTGACAAAAGTCATGTCTTTGTTTGAGGGTGTTACTGTTGTGTTTGAAGCATCACTTGTTGCGCTGATTTCCAGTGGATTCCGTGTGGGTTATGAAACCTTGCGGCAAAAGGCCATACGAATGACAGGGCAACTGGTGGTTTTTTTTCAGGAGCAGCCTTGTTGTTTGATTTGCTGGGGTTCCCTTTCCATCACTTTGAGAATTTGTTTCAAGGGCGGTGCTGTAAACAACTGACAAGAACAGGTGCCTTTCCATGGAACACCGGCAAGTACGATTAGGCGCTAGACTGCGACATAGCAAAGGCCGTAGCTCGAACAGTCCTAAACGGGCTGAGTGTTTGGACATATTATGCATGTATATGGCCGCGTCCTAGTCTAGCAAACACGTGACTGTGATAGGGCCTGACTTCTTCATGACCCAAATCGGCAGCGGCCAACACCACGCTTATGTCTTACCCTGTGCATTTTGGGTTTTGATCATAGTGGCCACTTTGTTGGGCCAACTCGCGAAGTGAGTCAACTCTGCCAAGCGCAGGCCCGAACAAGTCTCAACCAGTGTTTCCGGCGTCTGCTTCGAAGGCAAGATGCGGAACCGGAACTGTACTCGTATTGCGAAGGCAGCAGGTGCAGAATTGACGGCGAAACCAGCCAGGCAGCTGGTTCGCTGCCCTTGTCCGGGATGAGGAAATACAACCAATGGCCATCCCATGTAAGGACCTTTTGATGAACCCCCAGCATGTTGAAAGGCTTTAGCCACGCGCCAGTCGCACTGTCAGGCAACGGCTACCCCCCACCCCCTCTGCGGAAAACGAGCTCCTTCGCTGGGCACGCGCTGGTTCAAACCTTAAACAAATGGCTATTTGAGGGTCACTTCAATTGAGTCGCTCAAACTTTAACACTTGTTGTTTTCCCTCGGCGCTTTAAGTCTTGACCGTGTCCCCCTTGGGTTGCCAGTTGGTTGAAAACATGAACGCAACCCACTATTGTTTGGCAGTGCATCCCGCTGTTCCGGCGCAACGTGCAAGGGATCGATTGCCGATGTTAGGGCGTTCCCTCCCCATTTGCGATTTTGTGTGGTTGTGTCTCTGTTTGATGGCGCCCGTTTGGGGCCTGAAAAGGGAAAGCACCTAGTTTCAGTCGGTCCCCTTTGAGACGTATACCCTTATACCGAGCCTCGTCAAGTTGGCAGAACACGTTGAAAACAAGTGGTAGGTTAAACAAGACTCACTAATAAATGGGGAATCAACCCTTCGAACATCAAGAGCAATTGGGGATCAAATCCACAACCAATCCACCGATCAAATTTCAGAGTTTCGAACTTGCGACAGCAGGTTTCCCTTTGAAGTCCCTTTAAAGCGACCTCCACCAAGGGTGCCCTCAAAAAGATTGCCACTTACCGGTAGATGAGAGTTGATTGCAAGGACTTGAACTGCGGAGGACCATAGCACTACAGGCGTTCGTGCCCTGGAAATATCCGTGAAGGAGTCTGCGAAAGAGATTGTTTTACGAAAGATTCGGCCAAAGCTTCCTGGAGGCATGCTTGTGCCCTTGCATATTTGCAGATCCCACTCCCTCGTAGATAGGGAGAGGTGGCGCAGCGTCTTTACTTCTTGTGCTGGAAATGCTGCAAAGCAACCCGTTGGCTGGGTTATTTTGTGGCAAGTTTCGCGCGAGATACGCGAAAGACCGGCGAAAGCCCATGGTAACTTGATGCAAGGCTCGCCACATTGGGACCAGCAGTCACAGCAAGCGCAAGTGGAAAGGGAACCGCGCGGTTGCTGGGTTTGCAAGCGCAGCTGCACCAATATATTTTTCTCTCGCGAAGATGGCATGTTCTGGAAGCAGGAATTTGACTGGGAATCAATTGTTTTGACTCGACACTCAGCTGAGCACTCCACTTGCTGTCCTTAGCTTGGCCGAAGGCTAGCTTGGCAACAAACATGTTTTACAAGCCCATGTAGGCTTCTAATCACAGAACCCCCAAATCGTGTTCACTGGGCGCGTAACCCACTTTCAACCAAGCCATTCGGCGGCCAAAGTCTGTGGTCCAAAGGGCTCGCCGCGCCAGGCGCTGCAGCACTGCCGCAAGCAGGCGGAGCCTTTCCTGCAGCGCTGTGAGCCGGAGCCTTTCCCGCGGGGCGCTGGGCGCCGGGGCCGCTGTTTGTGGTACGGCGTGAATAGGCGACACTGACGTGTGGAGTCGTGACTCAGGAAAGGGGGATTTGGCCGCATTCGTAGCCTTGCTAGCTTGGTTCAAAAAGAGACCAGTTACGGATTTCTTAAGTTCAGCAGGTTGCATGATTTCCCCTCGCCCGAAAAATGCCAGCTTTGTTCCCTGCCAAAGTCAAAGCCGGCAAGGGGGGACCGGACAGGAAATCTCACTCATTCCCGCTGTTTGACGCGTACCCTATAAGTTCGGGGTTTTGCAGCCATGCGGCAAAAAGCATCTAAAAGAATAGTTCTTTTTTGCGGTTCTGTCAAAGTGGGGTTATCTATGTTTGCGGGTCGTTCAGACATGGCCGCTCTGAGGTCCATGTTTTTGCACCTCCTCAAGTTGGCGCATCTCAACGTCGCCCGCCGGTTCCGGCGCCTGGCGCACGTCGGGGCCCGGGGCCGACCCAGCGGGATGGGAGGTGAGGAGGGAAGGAGCCTCAGATCAGCGGGTACCTTGTTCCACTTGTTGTTTGGCTCGGAAAAATGGTCACCATCTCAGGGCGCTTTGCATTGCTAGCCTTCAAGTGTAGCGCCTGAAAACCTGCACAGGTTTGACCGCAATGTGTTAGCAACTCAAATCCATGAGTGAAACTTTGCTAAAGGGAACTCCGGTAAATTGAACGGCCTCGTCCGAGAGCTGGACGTCACGTTCACGCGCTTAGACCCTGCACTCACAGCCACCCGGCCTTCAACATGACCCCAACAAACTGCCATCCTTTCACGCGGTTGGTTTTATGTCCGGCACATATACAAGGGACAAAAAAGGGTTGGGGGATATACCAGGTCAAAGGTCCGAACAGCTGTGGTTGGGGGAGGGGGAGGAGTCTTTGGGTGTAGGGTCCCTGAACGGACATTGATGTGTTGTTCACACGAACCATTTGTTTATGGCAGCGATGGTTTGTTCTGAAATCATGGGCATCATTGCCCGCATGCTAAAATTAGGAACCCACCGAGTCTCAAATAATTGTAAACGCTTCGCGTTGCCCGCCTCGGCCCAGCCTAGTTTGAGGGAAGGGTCAGGAACACCGAAATCCAGTGTTGGGAAGGTCCGACCGAATCCTACTGAAAGCTTGTGACCGCACCAGTTCGCCCGTGCTAGTTCGATGTTCGGAAGCCGTCCTGCTCGGACAGTCTCGGGCAGCTTGGCTGGTCCTTGCTTGCGTGGGTTGTTGGTTGAGCTGGGCCTGAAGCTAGTTTACGGCGGGCTGGGCAGCCGCACTGAGGGGGCTGGGCTATGGCTGGGCTGGGCCTGAGGCCAGTTTCAGACACGTCAGACAGGCCTGGCCAGCAGGCGGACTGGGGTGGGCTAGACGCTAGTTGAGCCCAGGCTGGTGAGGCCCAGTCTCGGCGCTAGATAGGCTGAGGCCTGCGAGCCTGAAACAGGGTAGGCTTGGGTGAGGTTTGCTTATTAGGCGGGTTGCTGGTTGGGCTGGGCCTGAAGCTAGTCTCAGTTGCTGGCTGCTGGGCAGCCGGACTACGCTGTTGGTTGCGCCTGGAACTTCGGCTGGGCTGGGCTGTGCTTGGGCGGGTCGCTGAATGGGCAAGGCCTGTCTCATACACACTTGGGCCTGAGGCTGGGTAGCGAGTTGCTGGCTGGAGCAGGAGGTCAAGGCCTGGCCAGCCTGGGCTGAGCTGCTTGGGCAGCCGGACTGGGGCTGGGGCACGTCAGACAGCTGGCGTAGCTTGAGACCAGTCTCAGACACGTGAGACTGGTCGTTGGCCTGAGGCCAGTCTCAGACACGTTAGACAAACCTGACCTGCCACGCTGGGCTGAGCCAGGCTGCAAAGCCATGGGTGGGTTGCTGGCTGCCGGACTACGCTGCTGGAGCGGAGCTGTGCTTGGGCGGGTTGCTGGATGGGCAAGGCCTGTTTCATACACACCTGGGCCGGGTGGCGAGTTGCTGGCTGGGCCTGAGGCCAGTCGCAGACACGTAAGACACGCCAGCAGGCGGGCTGAGGGACTGGGCCTGAGGCTAGTCTCAGGCTACCAGTCCCAGACTGCGCCGAACTGGGCCGGGCCAGACACGAGCAGGAGGTCAAGGGCCTGGCCAGGCTGAGCTGCTTGTGCAGCCGGACTGAGGGGCTGGGGCACGTCAGCCCATAGTAGCTGGTGCAGCTTGAGACCAGTCTCAGACACGTGAGACTGGTCGTTGGCTTGAGGCAAGTCTCAGACACGTTAGACAAACCTGACCTTGGCACGCTGGGCTGAGCCTGCTGGGCTAGGAGCTGGGGGCCGGCCTAGTGGCTGGCATGCTCTGAGATGCGCCGGGCCTGGGCTGGGCAGGCTGGGCTGAGGTGGGTTGCTGGTTGGGCTGGGCCTGAAGCTAGTCTCAGCCACAAGGCTGCGAAGCCATGGGTAGGTTGGGCAGCCGGACTACGCTGCTGGTTGCGCCTGGAACTTGGGTTGGGCGGGCTGGGCTGAGCTGTGCTTGGGCGGGTTGCTGGATGGGCAAGGCCTGTGTCATACACACTTGGGCCTGAGGCTGGGTGGCAAGTTGCTGGCTGGGCTGGGCCTGAGGCCAGTCGCAGACACGGCCTGAGGCTAGTCTCAGGTCTCAAGGAGCTGGGGGCCGGCCTAGTGGCTGGCACGCTCTGAGATGCACCGGGGCCTAGGCTGGGCAGGCTGGGCTGGGCTTGCTGGGGTTGCTTGGGCTAGGCCTGTTTCAGACAAGCTTGGGCCTGAGGCTGACAGGCCTGGCCAGCAGGGTTGGGCTGGGCCTGAGCCTAGTCTCAGACACGTCAGACAGGCCTGGCCAGCAGGAGGTCATGCTTTTCAGGACAAAAAAGCAATTTTTTAGTGTTTTCGCAATTGTCAGCACATTTTCGGCAAAAATCGACCCATGGAGCTGGACGCCGACGAACCCCGAAAATTTCAAGGCCCGCCGGAGAGGATTTTGGGCCAGCCGACATGGGTTGGGGGGGGTGGGGGGGGGGGGCGGGCCGGCAAAATTTTGGTTGGGAAAATCGAAGATTCTCTTTGAAGAAGAGATCTGAGCGCCCTTGGCCCCTTTGGGGCCGAGGCGAATTCCATAAAAATAGGATTGCGGTTGGTTGCATTTTAAAGCTGACAAATGTAGGGAGGGATCCCCGCAGTTGCTTCTGCTTGATTTTTCCCCAGCAGCTGAAAGCTTTGGAGTCTCTGCCTCAATAAGTTCTGGGGCGGCTTGGAGCTTTTCCGGATTGCTCCAGGGGGCTCCGTGGCTCTGGGTTCTCAGTCGGAAAAAGCTTTTTTCGGGGGGAAGTCATTCAAGGTCCAGATGGACCCAATTTTCCCAAGTCTGGTTGCAAGAAGCACGTTTTTTCCTTTACTCACCCAGCCAGCGGGCGCACTTTACACCTTATTTCCTTGGTGGCTGTGCCTGAATTTTAGAGGTGGCCCAAAAACAGTGTGCACTTTGTTTTGGCTGGTCACTGGCCAAGTGAGAATTTAGACGAGTCCGCCTTCTGCGAAGCCTCGCCTGCGGAGGCAACCATTGAGTTAAGACCGCCGGATCAGGATCGCTGTCAGAGCCCAGGTCCGAAAGCAAACCAACTCGAACAGTTTGGGTTTCAATGAATCGAACTGTTTGGGTTTCAGTCGATTTCTTTCGCCAGAATGTTTTTCCCGATTCCGTGGAGCCTCTCGCGGTCCCAGGTCTTCCCAGACTTCAACGAGCTTCAACATGAGGCCCGTCGGGGCGAGGGCCGACTCGGAGATTCGCCTTTGGGAGTCGAACGGGGTATGGCGACTTAGCGGCAAGGAGGATTCACCAAACTTCAACCAGAACTTTGTGCTTTAGGGCAGGGTTGTGGGATCAAGGGGTTTATCTCCACTTCTGTGATATAAGGGAATCTCCTTCTTTATATGGGGGGTCAGTCTTTGGGAAGCCCTTTTTGTTGTATCACAGAAGTTGTCATCTCAAACGCCCTCTTTAGGGGAGTCTCTGATATTTCACCCTGGCAACTGTGTATTTTGACCATGGCTCATATGGGTATGCTTTTAAATGAAGCTCTTCATGGCAGGGCGTTAAAGGATGCCATCCATTTTTCAAAAAAAATGCAAGAAAACAACACTTTGAGACACACCTGTATTTGTTAACGAAAGGAGGGTCGATGTCGTATGCCTAGGTTGCTCTGCTGTCGTACGCCTAGGTTGCTCTGCACTTCAGAATCTTACAAGTACCATTACTTCATTGAAGGGAACGGGGCAAAGGCTGATTGCATAGGTCCAAAAATGAACCCATGGCCATTTTTCATATTTTTGGGTATTTCCCAACATTAAGCCATACCCCACGGTTAGTTAACCCATAAACTAGGGGTTCGTACCAGGGGTTCATATTTGGGCGTATGCATTCAGCCTTAGCGCTGCAAGATGGCGCTAGATGGGAGGGGATGACTGTGAAAGTGCATTCCATCTATTCACGCTTGCCTTCAGGAGGGTGTCTTGGACATGGAACTTTCGAGTCCAGCCCCGACTGTTCAGTCTACATCCCCAAGCATCACATGTCTTTGGGCCTTTCGGCCAATTGACACATTCCCTTAGTCTTAATCCAGTCGCAGCCGTTGTTTCTTTTCGGTCGCTCACGGCGTCATTCCTTTGCCTCCATGCCCTGATCACACGCCGGTCAAATATGGGTTTTCTCAATTTAGTGGAACCAAGGCAAAGAGTTGTTTCAACTTTGGTTTCTTTACACAACCACCAAAGGGGTGCCCTCAACAAAAAGACACACCCAAATCCAGCTGCGCTCTGTGTCTTCGAGCTCGAAGAGCAAGAGCAACCCTACCCGTAGGGTATACCGCTGACGTGTTTTGCTGCACCCCAAGCTCCTCCTCAGCATCGCCTGCATCACCTGCTCGCAGGCCGGCCCAATCACTTCCGCGGACAGTCGCCACTGCATCCTCGCAAACTTTGCCAGCATCCCGGCATTCCCTGCATCACCAGCATCTGGGCGTTCCAGCGTCCCTTACATCCCCTGCATCCCCTGCATCGCTCAAACCCTTCAAAACCTGAGAGTAGGTTTTGGCGGTAGGCGGGCATGGCGGGCAAGTCTGCGATCGAGTGAGCGGTTTTTCTTGCGCAAGTGCGGCCGCCGCCGCTGTGCGGAAAACATCGCGCATACCGTGCTTTTCTTCCTTTTCCCCCGGTTTCCGCGGGGCTGGGACTGGCTGCCGGGGATGCATTTGTTAGTCTCATTGACTTTCGGTGTGAAACGCGCGCGGCGCGCGCGCCCCGAACGCAAGCGCCGGACGCAAGCAGGCACACATGCCCTCAAGCTAGGGTGGGTGAGTACATGCTCAGTGTCGGGGTGGTTGGGCAAGCAACCTTGCAGCCTCTTGCGCGTGTGGGTTCGCAGCAAGCGCGTGCTTGGGTGGTCCGGATCAGGCTCTGAAGCAAGGTCCCAGTGCTCCCCATCTCACCTGTCCGACCGGCCAGCGCAGCTGGTGATGGCGAAGCCCTAGGATAAAAGATGACCTGTTGCTATTTCAGGTCGATTTGCTCTGGTTTATCACTATGTCTTGTTTGTTTTACCATATGGTTCATCACGTTTGTTCTCTCTTTGTTTTCTGATGTGACGCTGGATGATGGCAATCCTGAACGGTAAACAATGGTGGAATAAAAAGCCAACTATGGCTTCAATGGTTTGACTTGCTCATGCTCACTAAAAACATGTGGGAATGACCGCTTTTAACCATGTTTTGCGGTTTCCTTAACCCACACCCAGTTGCCCAGTGGTCCTTATTTTCGTTTGTTTTAAGAAGGGTTCCCCTTTAAAGTTAACCAACAAAAAGCGGATGGCCTTTTTTTCCCCATGGCAATCCACTGGGCATCTGAGCACATGCATAAACCTTACTGTGCAGCAAGTTGGTGCGATAAGGGAATGAGAAATGCAATGACCCCGAGATAAGCCATCCAACTAATGGTTTCCTTTAACCCACATTCCCAACTCGGTTCACCGTTTCTTGTGGTTTCTTTAACCCTCCCTACCTATCGCACCTTTTTGCCAACCAACGGGTTTTCCCTTAAACCACTTTGCTAAAAGTGACTAACTTTTAGGGGAGCAGAAAGCAACCGACCTATCGCACCAGCAAGTTGGTTTACTGGCTTGCCTGCCCCCATCGGAGGCCTGGCGCCTGGACGAAGCCCTGAAGTCCACCTTCGGCGCGAACCTCCTGCCGCTCGTTCTCGAAAGCTCGAAAGCGGAAGCGCTGAGCTTGCCGGGTGGTGGTTCAAGCGGAAACCGGGTCAACGGTGGTTCAAGCGGAAACCGGGTCAACCGGTTTTAGCAGGGAAAAGGCGGAGGCCCTTGAACAGGTTGTGGGAATTTGGAGGGGGCAGCCCTCCCCACCCCAAAAAGGAAAACAAGGAAAGTGTGTGGTTTCATGGTGGTTGGCTTGGCAAAAAGTAAAGTTGAAGACGAAGAACTTCTTGATTTACCGCAAACTTACGCAACAAATGTTTGGTTAGTTGTTGTTTCCCTTTCAACAGCAAAAAGATTGGTCGTAACACTCTCCACATGGGGGGTGGGGGCGGAATGGTTGCATTTGACTCTACCTATTTTAGCAATCGACCCTCCGCCGGGGTAGGGTCAAATGTGACTTGGCGTGGGTTGTGCAGGGTAGGGTGAGTTTGGGACCAAACCTAAACCCTGAGACCCTGAACCCAAACCCTAAAACCCTGCACCTAAACCCTGACAACCCTAAACCTATAGGGTAGTACCTGCTAGGCACAAGTGCATAATTGTAAATGGGGTAGGGTCGTATGTGACGTGCTCCGCAGCAGGGTAGTGTCAAATGCAACAGTCGGGCAGGGTCACATGCGACTCTCGCACCACTGCGGGGTGGCTTGTACCAGTTTCTTCTAAACATGACCCTTTGGTGGGTTCCATGTTGGCACGCAATAAGCTACGCACATCTACCGCAAGCATAGGGCGATTTTCAAATCTAGGGCAAAACAGGGTAAAACAGGGTAAACTAGAAATAGGCAAGCGAAGCAAAAGCAAAATGAACGGCAGACTGTAGGTTTTTTCCTTTTGGGTTTCCCCTCAAGGCCAAGAAAACAGGGTTCCCCCAAAGAAGGCGACACACCCACACACAGGTTCGTGGTGCCAAGGACAAGGAAGGCGGAACAATCGGGAACCCGCGGAGGGAGAGGGAATCGAAAGCCCAAGTCAAACAAAAGATTTGTTTCAGCGTGAAACCAACCGGCGATGCCCAGAAACCAAGCAGATTCAGATGGAAATCAGAAAAAAAAGAGCGCAGCGCTTTCTGGAACAAAAAGGCACTAGCTTTCGACGCACCTTCACAACAAATGTGTAAATCCATTTGCCACATTCTTTTTTCCTGCATAGGATTCTCTAGCACTGGGATGTATGTTTTCCGGATAAAGGACCCCCTGATTCCCACAGGACCCCTTGGCTGTCAAATGGGTTGCGATTGTCTCAGGTACAATCGCCCGAGCTGGGTCTTCATTATGGCGTCTCCGGCCAAGTTTGGTTCGGAACGCCAGAACTGAGAAGGCGAAAAAAGCCCATGGGCCAAACTAAGGAAAATATAAGGCCAAAGTGAAACAACGGCCTCAACTGTTGGGTGTGATTGTTTGGGTGGGTGGTAGGGTTTCTGAATGACCGATTAATCACGTCAATACCTGTTGTTTTGTTTTTGGGGCGCTAGCATTCCTCGTGTCTGCAACTCTGCTTCCAAAAGCGGTGGCAACTCTGCTTCACCCTTGACATGGACCTGTTTGAAGGGCAACTTACACGGTGATTGAACTGCATGAATCACATTTACGCAAGTTGTTTGCCCACAAGTTCTGCCGAGGTCAAATTGCGCGGTCGATCCCTGCCAGTATGCGCGGGATCTTGATATGACTCCACTACTTACTTAGTGCCACAGTTGAACTTGCCGTGTTTGGCATTAGAGCTGCGTGAGTTGGTGGTCAACAACTGCAATGGATGGTTTCAAAGGACACCTACCAGACGCCATGAACTTGCTGGGCGATGCATTGGCACCCAGCCACGGATGAGATATCCGCCTCAGCCTTCGGATGCAGCCGTGGGAGTAGCCCGTGAATTGTCGACGTTGGGACTCCTTTGGAGTCACTGACGCAACAAATCCTGCCGCGGATGGACAAAAAACCATGGCTGATTGGTAGTTGCAGAGGAGTCATCATTCCGGGGATCCTTAGGTGGTGCAGGCTTTCGTCCATCCACAGTATCATCTCCAGTGTTAAAGTGTGCGCCTCTTTTTGCACATGGGAAGAATCGCCAAAGTCGAGGTGGCCGTAGAGTCGTATCGCCCCGTCTTACAGCAGACCTTATGCTCGACCAAAACATGCCACCGTAATCGCCCACGTTTCAAGCCATAGGCCTCCCGTCCATCTAATGTTAAGCCCGGATTATTCAACCCCTGGTTGATTACCATTATGCACCTGTTGATGTTGGCATACATAGTTGCAGTAGTGTTAGGAGGACTCATGTTCAGCAATGCCTATGCTGGAGTTTGCCCTTGCGTTGCTTTTCATCACAGCTTTGCAGAGTGCCTCCATGGTTGTCACGCCCCACAGGAACTTCCAAACAAGGGTGTGTAGGAAGCCAAAGAAATGTACTATTATCCTACTAGGATTTGTGCCCGCCCTTGACCATCCTAATGCCAGCACAGCAGAGAGGCATGGCTAGACGAATGCCGCCTGTGACTAACGTCGCTGCAGCGCTCGTCAGCTGTGCCCGGAGGAGTCATATTTTCTGCTTGTCTGCCTCAAGAGGAGGTTCGCATCTTCCGCGTGTAGAAACTATGCCCAGGTAAACCAAGGTTGCTCACAGATTCGACTTGGCATTTGATCCACGAACCACGTTCAACCTTTCCGCGCGCCGTTGTTATTCAGTTCGTGCCACATTCCTTTTGGCAACTCGCAGCTTGCCATGCTTGCTCTCCTGCAACATGCTACCTGCAAAACTATCCTTGTTGCCGGGGTCTCCTCCAAGACTGTATTCAATGTTAGGTAATTAGACTGATTATGAACTGTTTGCACAGTCTGAGCATGTTAAGAATCTATTTTCTCTACAGTCAAACGGATCATAAAACTGGGGCCAGGGGGGTTGAAGTTTGCGCCCCGATTGAAATTCGGGAAACTAGGAGTTGGAACCCACCGGTGAGAGTCGGGTGCTCGGGAGTCGGAAACTTGGGGCGGGAGTTGGAAACTGTCCTGCCCGGAGTTGGATACCGGATCGGCGGGAGTCGGAAGCTCTTATGGCTGGAGTTGGAAACCGGTGGGTTTGTTTAGAGCCAAGAGTGTTTTAGGGGTGGTTTAGGGTTGGTTTCGTGTGGTTTAGGTTTGGTGTAGGGTTGGTTTAGGGTTGATTAGGTTTGGTTTGGGGCTGGCTTAGGGTTGGTTTTCGGTTGTGGTTGATGGTTTAGGGTTGGTTTAGGGTTGACTGAGGGCTGGTTTAGGGCTGCTTGAGGGTTGGCTTAGGCCTGGTTAAGGGTTGGTTTACGGTTGGTCTCGGCCCAGGGTGGTTTAGGTTTGGTTTGGGTTGGTTTGGCTTGGATTGGGTTTGGTTTACAGCTGGTTTGTTGTTTTTGGGCTGGTTTAGGGTTGGTTTAGGGTTGGTTTAGGGTTGGTTCAGTGTGGTTTAGATTTGGTTTAGCGCCGGTTAAGGGTTGGCTGGTTTAGGGCTGGTTTAAGGGTTGGTTTGGTGTGGGCTAATTTAGGGCTGTTTGGGTTTGGCTTAGGGTTGGTTTAGGGTTGGTTCGGGTTTACGGCTGGTTTAGAGTTGGCTTAGGATGGTTTAGGGCTGGCTTATGGTTGGTTTAGTGTGGTTTAGGGTTGGTTTAGCGTTGGTTAAGGGTTGGCTTAGCGTGGCTCTCGTGTGATTTATGGTTGGTTTGGTGTGTTTAGTAGGTTTAGGGTTGGTCCATGGCTGGTTTAGGGTTGATTTAAGGTTGATTTAGGGCTGGTTTGGGTTTGGCTTAGGCTTGTTTAGGGTTGGTTTATGGCCGGCTTTGGGTTACCTCACGGTGGTTTCGGTTCGGTCCAGGGTTGGTTTAGCGTGGCTTGGGGTGGGTTTACGGGTGGTTTAGAGTTGGTTTAGGATTGTGGTAGGGTGGATTTAGGGCTGGTTTGGGGTTGATTTAGTGTTGGTTTACGGCTGGCTTAAGGTTGGTTTACGGTGTTGAGAGTTGGTTTTGGATTGGTGTAGGGCTTCGAGTTGGTTTAGTTGGTTTCGTGTGGCTTAGGGCTAGTTCCGGGTTTGCTTAGGGTGGTTTAGCGCTGGTCAAGGGTTGGTTTAGGGCTGGCTCAAGGTTGGTTTGGTGTGGTTTAGGGTTGATTTAGCTGGTTTAGGGGTTGGTTTGGCTTGGCTTGGGTTTGGTTTACGGCTGGTTTCGGGTTGGTTTAGGGTTGTGGTTTATGGTTATAGGGTTGGATTGGTGTGGCAAAGGGAGGTCTAGGGTTGGTCCTTGGTTTGGGGTTGGTTTCGGGTTGATTTAGGGCTGGCTTGGGTTTGGTTTGGTCACCCCGACCGTGTTGGAGCTGTGGTCGGAACACATGCCTCTGGAGTGTGACCGCGAGCTGAAGCTGCCGCCCGCGCACGCCTTGCTGGAGCACAGCCCAGCCAACGTGCGCTCGACTGAGCTAGAGTGGCCTGCCCACGGGAACCTGTGTCGGGTGTATTCTTGTTCCATGGAAGACCACACGTTGAACGTGGGCAGTGCCACGCATGACGCCCTGGCCAAGGCCACCTTGCCAGAGGAGACCAAGACTGCCTTACGTGAGTTGAAGTGGGCAGACGACAACCCAGACCGCCTCTCTTTGCACAAAACGAGGACGCTCTTGCTGGGGCTCTGGGTCGTGGGCTGCTTGCGCCCGTTTCTGCGGAGCAGTGCGGTGCACGTGTCCTGTGTTTGGCAACCTGGCTGGCTGGCAGAGCTGTGCGTTTTTCCTTGGTTTCACTGCAGGCCCAGGACTTCGGACACCCAGGATCATACTTGCGAGTGTGTTAAGATGAACGTATACCCTCTTAAGTATATTTTAGGAGATTCTTGCTTGTGGCTGGAGCTTTGGAGCGCTTAGGCAAGGCCGGGCAGTGCCCTCACGAGTTGTACATCCGAGCATTGGAGTGCGATTCTCTTGCCGCGCTGGCTTCCATGGCTGCGGCAACCAGGGCTGACGCGAAGCGAGGTGGAGGTCGCCCAGTTCAAGCGCCTTCTCTGCTGCCTGGTACACACTCGACGAGCTACGCCTCCGCGCAGCCCGCCAAAGCGCAGTGCAATCGTGATGTGGCCCGCGCAAGGGAGGCTGTTCTGGCTCGCGCGTTCCGCGCTTTCCGCTTTCCGCAAGGGCGGACGTGGCGCAGCAGCTGCAGGCTCTATGCTTGATTGAGACCAAGAAGGCTGAGTGCTCCTTTGCGCGCAGACACTCGGTTTCCCAGTGCTGCGAGCAAAGTTCGGTCATGCAAGCGCACGTGTGTCCCAAAGCCAGCCACGGGACATGTCCATTAGCTTGTTGGCGTTTTTCTGGAGGTGTCAGGGGAGGAAGCCAAGCAGTCGGGCATCGGGAAGTCCATGAACCGCCTTTATAAGGCAGCCCCCACGCTATCGGTGAATACCCAGTGCAGCAAGTTGGTCAGGGCCTGGTCTGCAAGCCTCAAGAAGCCTCTGCTGCTGCAGCATCCGCCCCATCATCATCTGCCACATCATCTGCAGCTGCTGGTGGCCAGTTGCCTATGTCAGCTTCGGTACGTAAATGTGTTGAATCTTGTGCTGTCTGCAAGCGTGGTCGCAGGCGCGCTCGCAGCTAACTAGCAGCGCAACCCAGCCCAGCCCTAGTTCTCGCTGTAGACTTTGAAAACAAGAGCAACCGTTTGCCACAGTTGAGCTGAACTGCCGACCCAGGAGGAGCGTCCACAGGCGCCGGTGGCTTTGGCAAAGCACTGCGATCGGTGCTGAAAGGCGCAGGCGACTCCTTCGTCTCTGCCCGCTTCCCTCATATGGCGGATTCTGTAGGAAGTCCTGGATTGCGTAACGCCACTGTGCAGTGTGACAATCTGTGCGAGGCCACTGCGCCCAACTCAGTCCCCTATAACTCTTTCTAGCCGAATCTGGATTGACATCCATCGTGGCTGCGCGGTTTCCAACGGCCAGCCTGGGACTCTCAATCCTTGGCTTCCCAAGGGCCAACACCAGCAGCAGGAAAATACGCACACGGAAAGAAAAGAAGGAAACCCGCATTGCAAAAAAAGCTTGTTGAGTTTGGGCACAACAGCCATTGCGTTGTCAACCCAACCGCTTGCCCAACTCTTTTTCACAGCTGAGCTGAACTGCCGACCCTGGCGAAAGCACCACATGTGAAAGATTGCTGAAAGGCGCACGCGACTCCTTCGTCTCTGTCCACTTCCTTGATAAGGCGGATTCTCTACAATATCCTGGAATGCGTAACGCCACTGTAGATTGTGGCAATCTGTGTTTTTCAGGTTTGTCATCTGAGCTCATGTAGTCGCATGAAAGACATGTGAAGGCACACTCTACGCCAGTGTCACCCCAATAAAACTGAGTGACAGAAGTCTCTGCGCCCGAGCCACACGCCGTCCACCCTAAGACTGGCAGGCCGCTGGGTTCTTTCCAATTCAAGCACGCGGGTGGTGTTGGATTTGCAAGCCTTGGCCGACTAGAAAACGTTTGAGGGGCTGATCCCATGAAGAAGCAACCCGGCAACCAACGAGATGCAATTTCGGAAGTTGAAGAGGAAAGTGTTGCAGGCGAGGCCATTGCATCCAACTTGTTCCCCCAGAATTACTTCAAGGCCAAAAGTGCAGTGGCATCTCCCGTGGCTGTGCGAGATCCAACTGGCAGCCTGGGACTCTCAACCCTCTTAACAAGCAAACACAAGCTCCCGGATAAATCGGGAAAGGCAAGAAAGAAGGAAAGATCAAATAGCGAACAACACTAGTTGAGTTTGAAAACAAGAGCAATTGCGGTGCCACCCCAACAGCTCACCACAGCTGAGCTGAACTGCCGACCCAGGCGGAGCGTCCAGAAGCACTGGCGGCTCCGGCCAAGCGCCGCATTGAAAAAGGCATTGGCCTGATAAAGCGAAACCTTGAAAACGCGTCGACTCCGTGCGCCTGCAAGCTGCGAGAGCACTGCCGAAGCCAACGCTGTGTGAAAGCAGCTAACACAGGTCCTCCGCGTGTCGCTCGACGACGCTCTTACCCTTCGGGTCCCCCTGCCAGGACAAGCTAAGCATACAAAAGAGCACTGCAAAAATAGGAAGCAAACAGGGGTCCTCCGTGTCCTGCTGCAGCTCTCCCTGCAAATTCACAGTGAGCGCTGGATTGCGTCGCTCGGCAGGCCTTCTTTGTCTTCGGGCCGCCCTGCCAGGAAAAGCACACCAAGAGCGCGTCACTGAACAAGCCTTTGTGACTGTCACCAGCCAACCCTCAAGCACCCTTTGTTCCAAAAGCACTTGCGTGAGTTCTCACTGAAAAGCCCTCGCCACGACCGAAAGCTCTCACCACGAAGTCGAAGCACGTTTTCCCAAATAATGTTTGCAAGTTTACACTCAGGGCTCTCACGGTGAGAGCGCAGCCTGGGCTGCATCGCACTGCTAATTCGCAGCAAGCATGGCAGCGACCACACTTGCTAGCATACGGCACAGGATCAGCGCACTTGCGCGCCGAGGCTGACATTGGCTGCCAGCTGCAGCACAGCCGAGAATAGAAACAAGCACGTATGACACTGGCCTTTCTGTCCTTCCGTTCTTCCCGTATACGAATGTTCCTGTTGTAGGGGTTTGCCCTCAAAAGCCAGGGTTGAGAGTCCCAGGCTGCCCGTTTGATATCGCGCAGCCACGGTGGATGTCAATCCAGTTTTCGGCTAGAAAGATTTATATGGGAATGAGTTGGAAGCAGTGCAACACTGAGGTCTTCAGATTTCATGATTGAATACATTTGGTTATCGGGCTGCTTCGTCATGGGGTTAAGAACCTGGAGCCTGGAGCTTTTTCTAGCCGGCCGATGCTCCAAATTCCGGATTTATCCGCGTGCTCGAATTGGAAAAGAATTCGGCGGCCTGCCGGCCTTCAGGGCTGGCCTTGTGACGATTGGGAAGGTTTCACAGTGTACACGTTGATGTGTAAAGAACTTTCTTTCCTTGTGAGTTTGGCATTTGTGCCGCTTTGGTAGCCTTGCCGTGGGGCCCCGGGTGTCAAATCAGCGTTGCGCACCAGTGCTCCCTGTGGTGCACGGCTGCGCTGGTTCTTCTTTTGCATTCTTCTCTTCCTTTTCCTGCCTTCTGTTCCTTCTCTTCCTTCGGTTTCTACTCTTCCTTCTCTCCTGCTTTGCCTTTTATTCCGCCTGTTCCTTCTTTTCCTTGCCGTGCCCCAGAGCGACAGTTTACAACACGCGTGTCATCGGTTTCCAACTCTTGCCACAGCAGTTTCCAACTCTCGTTAGGACAGTTTCCAACTCACGCCGCGCAGAGTTTCCTGCCCAGTTTCCAACTCCCACCTCGCCCGGTTGAAATTGTCCAAGGCTCCCTTCCTTGGATGTCTGATTTCAGGTTGGAGAAGCTCACTACCATGCATTTTGGAAGGTATAATTTGTCGGCGACTCTGCCAGGAGTACGCCCTCCAGGCCGGGAGTCGCAAGCTTTTTGCTTTGCCGGGATTGCCATTGTTCACCTGGCCTTTCGCTTTGTTGGTTTCATTTTCCCTCGGTCAGCTTCTAGGGGTTCAGATCCGCGAAACAACATGTCCAAGCTCGCCGGTCGCCGTGACGTGGCGTGTCACCCACTTTCCTTGGAAGGAGTGTCCTTCAGAAGAAAACAAAACTGGGTGCCGTTTTCCTCATGGGCAGTGGGAGGTAAACGCAGGAAGTCAACTCGGGAAAATGGAACGAACCGTGAACTGTGCCTTGATTTTTTAAGGAGGCACCGATTTAATCTGGCCATGGGACAAAAACCCGTACCCCCAATGAACATTCCAATCCCCAGTAAAATAGACTAAAATGAGTGGTGCACCCACCCCAAAATGGGATCCCATTGGTTTTGACCCACAGCCATATGAGGCGCAAAGGACAAGGCAGTTGTTGAAGGAGAGGTTCTTTGTGCCTTGAGTTGCTGTGTTCGTATTGTTCTTTGCTTAGTCTTGTGGGCTTGGAGCTGCGTAGGCAAGATTGGGCACAAGATTGCTCAAGGTCTTTCCCAACCACATTCTCTTGTTGGTGGCTCCCAGCCACCGTTAGTTTTTTGTTTGTTTGTTTGTTTGTTTGTTTGTTAGTATTTAGTGGGTTTGCCATGTAGCCCACTAAAAGTTAGTCCCTTTGAGCCGAAAGATCTGAGGTTCAGCCTAGTTCGATGTCTGCGGCAATCCTTTGAGTTTTGTTGCTTTGGGCTGGTGCTTCCTTAGGGCCTGGCAGTTGTGAGAAGAGAAAAGGTTTCGTGCAGCCATCCACAAGCATAAACAAAGACCGCCCAGACCCAATTTGTTGCGGCATCTCAGCCACCCTTTGGGCGGGTGACTCGAAGCACGCTTTGCTTGCCGCAATTTTTTGAAAGCGCAGAACTGGGAACTCAGGAGTACTGGGTGAGCGGCTTGCAGTCCGACGTCAGAGGGGAACCCGGGCAACCCTTTTTCGGGGTTTCTCCCTAATCTGCCAGGTTTCCGCAGTGAACCTCACTGGGGGGTCGACATTGCCTTTGCCTGGCCATATGGCTTGCGCCTCTTTGGCCAGGTTTATGTTGCTCAAGGTCAAAAGGCGGATTCTCCGTACCCCCGAGATGGCTCACATTGGTTTACCACGCGTCTCCGGTTTGCGTGAGGCATCGAACTTGTCATGTTTTCAAGTTGAACATCTTCCATGGCTTAGACCGCCGGAAGCGAATGCGCGAGCGACCCGAGCAGTCATGTTGATGGTAGCCTTGAGTTTGTGTAAGATTTCAGCCAGGGTGCAGCATTTCAGCCATTTCAGCTCCAAAACAAACCCTATGATGTGTTGTATATGAGCAAGGGTCAAGTCCAAGGGAATGATTACTACACGCCTGGAAATGGAGCTTCGCGCGGCGAACTCCAACCTGGCTTCGGCAGCTCAAACCGCCCAGAAGATGCGTGGCGCATGTCTCGCATTGCGCTGCGAGTTGGTGAAAGTGACCCCAAAAGCTCCCACCTGGCTGTGGTGGTCAAAACCAATGGGATCCCATTTTGGGGTAGGTGAATTCACCACCCATTTTAGAACCTATTTTGGTGGTTGGATTGGGAGGTTCACCGGGAGGTAATTCCGATTTGGGTTTTGGCACATGGCCACCTGGTCCTGGCCGGTTTGGGATGTGCAGGCGATGATCTCGAAGCTGCTCTTGGGCTTTCAGCTGGAGCTGTACGAAGAGGCGAGGCCCTGGTTCAGTGCTCCGCCGCAACGAGAAGTCTAGGGGTGTGTCATGTTGTCTAGGGGACCCGCAAAAAAACAGCGAGAATTTGGGGACCCACTAAAATACAAAATGTGAGTGTCCTTTAGAACCGCAAAAAGGGGTGCCCTCAAAAAGACACTCCCATTTGTCAACAGACTAGGATAGAACGTTGACAAGGGAGGCATATTTTGTTCTGCTGTGTTGTTGTTCTTGGATATTTTGTCAGAATTAAGTCTCGACCACTTGAGACACGATTTCCTTTGGTTTCCCATTAAACAGATCCTCCAATAGTCCCACTTGCAACAGCTGGATCGCTTCCAGGGATGGGTTCACGAATTTCGCTGGAAGGTTATGGAAGGTTTCCCTTACCAGGTATAGAGAATCTACCTGGTATTGTGTGACGGCTTCCTTTGTTTTCTCCCCAATTGCCCAATGTGTACCCCCCCCTGGTTGGCGTCTTCCTTTCGCAGGCGAGTTGATACCTCTTTCAGATTTTTGTTTGAAAAGCCAACAGGAAATATTGAATGTAAGGGAAACATGTGTGTGTGTGTGTGCGCGTGTGTTTCTCGAAATGAGCTTGCACCAATCTATGCATGGATGCATGGCAAAACGCTCGAGCAGGAAACAAGGCATTTGGACCAGTTCCTCTCCTGGTCAGTGAACCGTCCCAATCTCATCACCACTGAAAAGTAGGTGAACTGCTCTATATGTCTTCTTTCCGGTTGTATCAGCTGGTGGCTGTGTGTTCCGGTGTTCAGCGTCGATAGGTTCCCTGCGGGTATGGGTCTTGAAACTAGAATGAAAGAATCCCGTGGTGGAACGAAACAAGGCAGGTCCTTACAAGTTTGAAGTCCGTCGGCCACCTCTCACTTTCTGCGCCGCAGAACATGCGTGCTGTCTTCTATGCAAGTGTAAAGGGTTCCAGCTGCCACTCAAGGCCCACAGAAGGGTAGACTGGATGTTGTTTGAGCTGGCTCCTTTTTTGAGTTGTCCAAACGTTGCAACCAACAGGAATCCCGCCAGTTTGGCTGCCCCGCAATCTTGAGACAGCCCAACACTCCAGCGTACCTCCCATTTCTTTGCAGGGGTCCTTCTTGTTTGCGGAAGAAGCTTGGGATGATGTCCCCTTACAGGAGGTGCTTATTACTTGTGTGCCCGTTTGTTGGCTTTTAGTTGCAGCTGGACAGATCATAGCGAGCTCACCTGGGGGTAAAGTGGGCTCGCCCATGAGGAAGGACCCTTGCTTCGAGTTCCCATATTCCAGTTGTTGGAATTGTAGCAAGCTGCCCAGATTGCAGTGACTCATGTTGGCATTGCAATGCGTGCTTGGGGCCATCCCGATAACGTGTTCAAAGAAAAGTGGACTCTCTTTGGAAGGTTCAGGAAAACACGTGTAATTGGTGCGAACAATCCATTTGTACTGGTCCCTAACTATCAAGGAACTGGAAGCAGCCCCTTTTTAATCACATGACTAAGGAATGATGCTGCGTCTTTGGGCAGAACAAGTTGGTACAGGTTGACTGGGGACAGAGGAATGTGTTGTGATGCACATCAGCTTCTGAACCGTACACGCTGGGCACAACACTCTGTCCAATCGTGGAGATGATGTGGGCGGGGATTGATTTGCCTGTTTCTTTGGCGAGCTCGCCCGGCATTCAGCGAAGTTTACCACTACAAGCTTGCGTCCCCTTGGGTTTTTTTGATAGGTAGGTGTATGAAGAATGTGTCCTTGGAATGCGAGGAAATCAGCCTTGGCGATACAAGGAGGGGGGCCCTCCTGACGACTTTCATTTTGGTTACCCTTTGATGAGCGGCCAAAAAGGGTCCACATTTCGTTGGAGAATGCCCCCCTGAGTTTCTTGTGATCTTTTCCGGATCTGGGCTGTCTCCAGTGCAGGCAGAGTTTCACATGATCTACTGGCAGGGATCCCAAGAAGAGGCGATACTCCAAATAGGAGACAGACCTTAGACCCCGCAACACAATTTGGAAGAAGATGTTCGGTAAGCGAACAAGACCACGACGCTTGAGGGTCTACGGTGAGGGGGCATCCTTTCTTTTTGCTTTCTTTTTTCCATAATGTTAACTTCGGATTAACTCAGCGGACCCTACTTGCCAGAGGAACCCCCCGGATTTCCTTGCTGGTTTCCCTTGATTAGCACGATCCTCCGGATAAGGCCGAAATTAGCATTGTACATCTACGGCCAGCCGTTGGTTTAGGGTTTCCGGCCTATGTTTAGGGTTTAGGAGACTTTAGAGTTCAAGTTTAGAGGTTAGGTGTAGGGTGTAAGTTTAGGGCTTATCGCTTTGTAGGTCTACGGTTTAAATCTCGGTCTTGGGTCTACGATGGCGACCCAGGGGGGCTTACCCCAAACCAAACCCCAAATCTTAACTAAACCAAACCTTAACCTAAACTTTAAACCTGGCACCGAAAAGCTAAACTTGCTAAACCAATCCTTGTCCGCTCCCAACGCGTGGGTGGTACGACAGCGCCACGCTTTGAACAGAACGCAGTTCTGCACCGGGATGCACCAAGGCGAGTATGGCTGTGCTAGCCCTGCTACTTGAGTACTAAAACGAGCCATGCTTGACAATCGCATGACCTGGACGGGGGCTGTGGGTACATTATGTAGATTATGTATATTATGTATATTATGTATACATATATATATATATATATATATGTGTGCACAGGCACAGGGCTTGCAAGTGGGTAGCTTGACAGTTCATGGTAACACCTGATTCCCCATCCCAATGTCCTTGGCTAGCAGGGAATGAGGCCAGCCTTGAACAAGGTCTAGGGCCCAAATAGCTGCTTCTTCGAGGGTCTGGGAAGGGAAACTACGCGGGCCCCTTGCCCATGCTGTCGACCAAATCCACCTATCCACGAGATCACCCTCCTTAGATGCAGATAATATACGCATATATAGTATCCATTCTGCACCAGCAATTACAAGTGAAAGCATGCCACCTTGTCTTTCAACTTGGACGAATGCACCAGTTCAGGGCGTGATATGTCAGAGCCCAGACGACTTACATGGGACAAAGCTGGATTCTGGGCTCGACTCCACTAAATGGGGGGGAGCCTCAAAAGGGGTGGTTGTCATGTGGCTTTCCCCCCAAAAACAGTTCCCTCGAAAGCAGGTACACCCCGAACGGGGATTCCAAAGACAGGCCCGCCTTTTTTGGGCGATGTGTAATGGGAAGGCTGCAGATGGCTTGCTTTCGGATGCCACACACATTGTCCCGTACACGCAGTCGGCTGAAATATACGTGTCCCAGGATTTTCAACTGCCCTCAATATTTCAAGTGGGAAATAATTGATATGAGAACCCTGAGATGGCACCCGGCTTGCTGGTAGATCCCATTCATCCGGTCTGATAAGTGCGTTACCTTTGAGTTGGGACCTGAGGTATGTGGACTACCTCTTCGGCTTGCGCATCTACAACCTGAATGTGCCGCGGCTCAGGGTCGGGTTCACATGTGGTCAAAACACCTCTGGTTTGGGGCTGGGCAGGGATGGTCATCAAGCTTTGGGGGAATTATGTATATATATATATATATATGTTTGCTGTTTTGTCAAAAACTATGCAACCGGCGAAAATTATTGCTGTTTTGGGACACGGCGTTAATTTTACATGTCGGAAGGTCCAGGTATGTATGTGGTAACCATTGTAAGGATTCGTTTGAAGGGAGCCATGACCAGGGGAATTGATCAGGGCACACATACTGACAATATCATTGCTCGCCTTTTTTTTGCTTTGGGCTGGATATGGGAAAACAACCCGAATTCCCAAGACACAACTTTCCCATGTCCTTGAGGGGACCAAAGGTTTTGCCATATTCTCGCATAAATTACAATTCTGTGTACCTCAAGAGGACCTGAGAACGTCAGGTGCTTTGCGTAATGGCTTCGGCCATTGGAGCAAGTGGAGGAGGGATCTCGACGAAATACTGGGGGGGTGAGAGTTATACAAATGGTATCCAGTTGGTATGGGGGGTTCTGGATGCACTGCAGGTTTCCACCGTGAAGGGGCAGGCCCCAGAGATACACATTCCACATGTACATCAGCACACATGTATATACAAAAGTAAATGAATATATATATATATATACACATCTACATGTATGTATATATGATATATGCTGCAAAACAGATACCCGATATGGTCATCAATCCATCACTCGTGTCTACCCGAGGCCTGAGGGAGCCCCAGTCAGCACTTCATTTCACGCCTGAAAACAGCGGCTCCTCGTTCCTTGAGCCTGGGGCAGTTAGATTCACCTATGGCGCGGAAAAACGAAACAAATATGTTGACCCTGGAGTTGTGTATACCCGTCCTATTCGTTTGGGGTGTTGGGCCCCAAAGTGCAGCATTCCCACCAAAACGGGCGCTCTCCATGCAAAGGGTTTCTGAATCTGGGGTTAGCCTCATCGGGTTCCAATTTTTTCAGTGATGAGTCTCAGAGAGCAGACATCGTGCGCACACCGCTTTTTTTGTGTCGTGATTGTTTTGCCCTACTTCACGAGTTTGGCCAAGTTGGAGAGCTTGAAAAGAGAGACATGACTGGCCTGAAGAACACGTTGGTTTGCGAGTGTTCGATCATCGACCAATCCTTTCATGGTTCATGACAAATCGCCTTTCACTTGGGCCGTATATGTCTCAATGTCTCAAATGTTTGAAGGTTTGGGACCTCGACGCGTACTTTCCTGTGAGTTTTGCGAACTGAAGGCCAACCGGGAGGTTCCCTATCCTGTCAACATGGCTACCCAGGTGAGAAGAGCACCCTCAAAATATCAGACCCAGCCAAAGTCCCGAATGCGCCTCCCGATTTTGGGGGGTTTGCCCCAATCCACGGTCACAAAACCAGGTGTTGGGGAAGGGTGAACTTGGGTCAATCAAGCCTTTGAACGAACTGAAGGCACAGGGCGCTTTGGCGCCTCGACTTTTTGTTCGGCTCTCCACTCGCGAACCGATTCAGAGCACGGCTTTGGCCTATCAATGTCCCAAGCAGCTCCGAAAGCTTGCGGATCCTCCAAGCTTAGTCCACAGGAGCTTTCAGAGGGGCACTTTCGGCTTTCATGCTATCTGGGATTGCCACCTTCACCCAGACTTGATGCAAAAGGTGTTGAAAACCAGGTGAATCAACAGGTCCTCTGCCTGGGATGACGACTAGAAAAACCAAACGAAAAATATGACAGACAACCGCTGAATGGATGAACAGTTGCCCATGGTCATTTGGGGGCCGAGTGATCAACCCCCACATGTCTGTGTTGCATTGTGCTTGGATGTTAGGACTTCAACTTTGTTGCCAACTAATGGGCTTTTCATTAAACCACTAGAGTTAAACTATTAGAAGGGGCGCAGATTTCGCAACCGAGATGTTGAACGGTACTGGGAACTGCGACCCAGGAGGTGTACTATGCCAAGGAAAACACAGGCCGCGGGAAGCCGATCGGCAGATCGCAGACGGAAGAGGTGGGAGCTTCCATTTGCTGAAGAACATTTTCCTATTTTCCCCTGTTAGTTTTGAAGGGAATCTATCACTGCAAATATTTTATTTGTTCAGAGGGCTTAAGCAAATGGAAGAGAAGCAAGAAATACACCTGCGAAGTACGCTATCGTGTGGATGGTTGCGAAATCCATTTCGCACCGCTTCGAAACCAAGGGAGTCCACTGTTTGTTGGTATTCGCAGGGGAATCGAATTCATTCCGTTGGGTTTCTTCGGTGGTGCACAATGGATTTCGTCCATCCACAGTATGGTGGCAGGTTTGATAGCTGTGTACGATGCCAACCGCAAGAAGTACGCCGGCCAGTTTTTGGTACGCACCCCGAATCGGCGACACATAATCCATATGTTCATGGGGGCTGGCGGGGAGGGAGGGAAGGGGGGAGGGAGCCCAAATAAGGGCTTATGCCCTTAATAAGGCCTTATTTAGGTTTTATTTGGGCTCCCTCCCCCTCCCCCCAAGCCCCCATGATATGTACTCTCATGTACAGACACGATTGTGGGTGTGCCGTGTATGCCCATTTAGGGTGTGTGTGTGTGCGTGTATGTGCGACATTGGAAGCGAAGGTTTAACCACAAGTTGATGCGCGTTCGCGGCACATGCAAACGAGCAGTGGTGCATAGGGAGAGTGGAACATTGGGCAGTATTGTCTCCACTGATTCACCCGAAGCAACAGGGCCATTGGACCAGCGTGAACCGTATGAGTGTGTCCTGGAACCTTTGCGTTCTTGGGTCTGCCCAGTCTACAGGTCCATGACTTGACAAGTTCCCAGAGCAGCACGTCTCCAGAGCAGCCTGCGTATCCAAGTCCCGTTCTGGATTTCCCTTCAAGACGAACGAGTGCCTGAGTCATCCGAGGTCATCCGGTTTAGCCTTAAGAATCCCATTTAGGAGGCAAACCCCATTTACAACTAAAGCCTGCTGCATTTCTCCATCTCTGCCCATCTCCATCTCGCCCCACTCCCCGTATGCTGGCTGAGTAGTCACCCGAACGGCGCCTGTCCTTTATCTCTTTGGTGCTTGGCCCGTTTACGCTTAGTTTAACAGGTCCCCCAGTAGTGCCCTTTTTACCCTTTTTTGGGGGAGGATTCCCCTACTAAAGTAGACTACAGAAAAAAGAGGTACCCTTATTCTAACCTCTCTACTGAGGACCTAGTTTAAGTTTGGTTTCCAGAGTTGATGAAGAAGTTACGTGAGCGCTTCGGGCCTCTTCGCGCCCAGCAGGCAAGAAGAAGTCGGGCGCAAGACCAAAGGACGGCTCCGGCTTTGCGGGCTCTCAGCTACAAATTGCATGGATTTCGGGATGAACTTGAGGGTCCGATGAAAGGAAACTAGAGGTGATGGTTCATAGAGTGCATGTCCTCATTCTCCTCTAACCAGCAAGGCAATATTTGCCGTACTTCCTGCACCAGGTTGACAAATGGCCTGGGCAAAATAGCAATAGCGACTTCAATGGGGCTGCGACCTCCATAAGCCTCGCAGGATTGCTTATGGAGGTTGGTAAATCAATATGCTTACGATGCACCCACAAGGATTACTTTATTCAAGGTAGACACTGGCACCCATCCCAAAAAAGGGGCCTTTCATTACACAAGGCCGGCTGGTCAAAAGCTCGGGGCCACTTAAGCGCCACAAGTTGACAGCACCCGCAAGGTGATTGCTTTTGGAGTTGGTAGCCTTTTCAGGTTGAGGGAAACCAAAGAAACATCGAAATCTAAGGGTGCAAACCCATATTTTGACACACTGAGCACAGGGGACTTGATGGGTTTGATCCTTCCCTCTCACGTGCAACATCAGGTTCTCCATGTTCCAACAGGCAAACAGGCAGGACGTCGTTTCGGCCAAGAAACACTTGGCGGCTATGTTGGTTTACAAGTCCAGAGCTTCAATTTCTCCAATGTGTGTTTCCAAGCCCAGGAGTTGTTTTTGGCCTGATCCCTCCTAACAGACCCATGAATCAAGCCATCTTTGGCCCAAGACAAAGCCCCCCTCCTTTTACAGATCCATGAACCAAGCCTCGATCTCTGGCCCAAAGCCTGACAAAGCTCTCAAGCTTTGATCTCAGGGCAAGGAGGTGTTCCACCAACCCGTCCGTACCAAGGGCATTTGTTTTTGGTTAACTGGGTGGCTCCCAGCCATCCGGCTCCTGAGCTTAGATCTTTTTAGCTTTTTAGTGGGATTTTAGGTATTTGGCCCACTAAGAGTTAGTCACTCGTCGGGCGGATCTGAAAACGGACAGCCTAGTTCAGAAAGCCCCATATACCCAGAAACTTTGACGGGTCCTGACGACCTACATGGCTTGGACTTTTTTGGGGGGGACCCGCAGAATTCCGTTGGTTCACTTTCTGGTTTCCCCTTTTGTCCTCCTTTTGGTTTCCCAATTTCCGTTCATCCTGTTGGTTTACCGCAAAAAGCCTTTGGTTCTCCTTTTGGTTTCCCTTTGCTCGTTTGGCTTCCCTTTGCGACCACCAAAAAGGGGGCTGGCCTCGAACAAAAAGGCAGCCCCACATTTTGCCAGCGCCTATCCCTTAGTCCATCGCTTCGCTCGGTGCTTCGGAGTCAGGCACCTGGTTGAACCCCCAAGCTTCGAAGCTTGACATCCGCTCTCACGGAAGATGAGTCTAAGAATGGACTTTCCTGAGTCAAAAAATGGGCATTGAAACGCTTCAAATGAAGTGGTCCAAGAAATCGTGTCTTCGAAAAAAGTGTGCGCTGTCGGATTTCGTCAGTTCGCCCTCCCTCCTCTGTCTGAACTTGCGTCCGCCTCGCATGGCCTATGCCCAGCACAAAGCTTTTGCCAATGGGTGTTGAGATGGGCAGGGTTCCACTTTTTGACTACCCCAAGATCTCACTTCCAGAGTTCATGAAACTTTAACTTTTTGGGAAGACCATTTTAGTGATGAATATAAAGTTTGCTTTTTTTTGCCATCCACTTAGTGAGAGGGTTCGACTTGAACGCAGGGGTTCCCCTTTGGGGGTTAGCCACCCTGGGCTTGAGTCTGCCTAGTCCAAAAGTGGAACCCCGAAGATGGGAACGCTCAGTCAGTCAGCTAAGGAAGCAAAGGTTAGCCGACCATTTTGAGGCCCGAAAAACTGCTCCCCATACCCGGGAAACTGGTCGTATGCCACGCTGGAAAAAATGGCCCTGATGCCTGTTCAGCTAGACTCGAAGACTACAAGGTGGAGACTGTTGCAGCGAAACACCAAACATTGGCAACATAAAAAGAAAAAAAACAAACATACACACAGGGATGATTTCAATTTGCCAGGTGGTCACTGGGCAACTGGGACCTAGTTAGTTGATTGCGCCAAGTTGGAGTTTTCGGCGATTCTTTTTGCACACCTCGGTCAGCCTTCTCTCAGGACGCTGGCGTTTCGGGCAAGGGGAACCGGCCCAGGACTGATCATCTTGGGAGCCATAGAACTGGACTGCTATTGGGCAACGGATCTTTCGACTTTAACTTTTTGGTTGAAAGAAAGGTGTTTTCCACTAACACCCCCCCAAAAAAAAAGTTAAATCAACAGCAACCAAGAGAAGGGGTTTAGCAACCTAATGGGTCGCAAGAAGATCCGGAGCGTTTGTGAGTGACCCCCGCTCCCGCAGCCAGCTTCTAGCTCCTCGTCAGGTTGCAAGGGCTTCCGTTGACCGTAGCACAGCGATCGGGTCTGGAACAGTTTGAACACTTTGATTATAGGCACTTTGAGCGATGTTGATGTTGCTGCTGATGATGGTGAGGATGATGATGGGCACGACGACGACGACGACGACAACGACGACCACGACGACGACGACGACGACGACGACGACGACGACGACGACGACGACGACGACGACGACGACGACCGCCGATGACAACAACGACCACGATGATGATGATGATGATGATGATGATGATGATGATGATGATGATGATGATGATGATGATGATGATGATGATGATGATGATGATGATGGTAGTCTAATGATTTAGACTCTCAATACTAACTACTCACTCTACCCCACGGCAACGTGCTTCTTGCTGGGCGGCCACAGGTCATTGGAAGAAGGATGGGAGAAAGTTTACATTTCAGTGTTGACTAAGTATGAAGCAGAATCTGAACACAGTTCTTTCTGTGTGCCCCACATTTGGGCCAAGCATTGGGGAAGATGCGAGCTGACTATCCAAAGTTGAGAAGACATTCTTGCCCTCATGCTTGTTTTGGCCCAGTGTCTGCTTGTTTGCTCTTCCAATCTGGGTACACATATATATATACACACATCTACATTTGCAAAATGAGATCACACTCAAAACAAGGATCGCATTGTGTAGAAGAGCGCAATACTGAGCTGGCGTCATGCGTATTTTCTTCAGAGC